CCCCAAAACCCCAAAACCCCAAAACCCCAAAACCCCAAAACCCCTGCCATCGAATCATTTATAGAAATTATATATTTAGATTCTAAAATGAATGTGGGAAACCATAGCACTCCTTTCTTGATTCTGGCAATTGACACAGGTAAGGTTTCGTAGCTTTAAAAAGAGAAAAGATGATCTATATCCTTCATTTGAAATGTATCATTCATTCTAGGTTCAAGTGATTCTAGTTCTAAGCAGAACTTATATCTTTACCCAGGAGATGATGTCAAGATGAAGGCAGTAGAGTTCTGTGCTACCTATAATTTATCAAATGAAGCAGTCCCAATCATCGTAAATCATGTGAAATCGGTCCTTGATCAGCACCAAAAGAAACTTGATGATATAAATTCAACTCCCTCGTGGCAGCAAAGCTCGATGGCAAGAATTGATGATTCAAAATTGGCCCAGGCGCAATCAGAAGGTAAATAGAAATAATAATTTCACAGGTGAAAAGAGAGAAAGCTGCTATAATCCCAAGATGCAGAGAAATATTGACCTCCACTCTCCAAGTTCTTTGTTTGAATCAAGCGACAAGAAACCCTCAAGAATGGCCACGATAAATGAAGATTTGTTAGAGAGCCAGCAAAATTCAAGTGCCAAAAAGACCCGGAATAATGAAGATTTAAAAGATGTTGCTGAATTTGGATCGCCTAACCCTCAGAATTCTTCAGAGATGTCCTCCATGACAAACATCTTAGGGAGTAAAGGCCCTGGCTCTAGTGTCAAAAGTGCTAGGCATTCAGCTAGAAAATAACATTGGATCCAGAATAGCCAAGAAGACAAAGAAAATTGACCACACAAGATCCTCTCAAGACTGGATTGCTTCTCCAACTGACAATTATCTGAAAGGTAAGCCAATGCTAATTAATAATAGCCTTCAAGAAAAGCATTAAGACAACTAGAGCATACAAGACAAAGAAAAGCAAGACTCGTAAGAAGGCAAACATTGTCAAGAAAGGTCTCCCATTTGGTTCTCTTAAAAAGTTCTCTGTAAACTATGACAGCAAAGACATAAGCTACCAAGGAGCATCATGCGAGAACGTGTTTCAAAGACAAGTCAATAAAAGGAGAAAATCACGACAAAGCTTGGTAAACAAGTATAAGAAAAGAAATAATAGTGTGACCTGAAGCTTTAAGCCAACAATAAATTCTCACTCAAAATTCATTATTGAGGATAAATCTTATCGAAGTCTCGAAAGAGACTATTCTGATAAAGATGTAAGCCAAAATGGGTCTCAGACATGTAAAAATGCTTATGACAAAAATATCACCAAGCAAAGAATTATTGGAAAAGTTTATAAAGAGAATATCCCTACCAATCAGAAGAAAAACATTGAAAGAGAATGAACATTCAAGCCGAAGTTAAACAAACTTAGCAGAAAGATTGTAAAATCTATCAGAGGAGACTCTCTTTCATCAAGAAAATCAGGAAGTGGATCTAGGACAAGTAAAGAAATATTTAATAAACTCTATGAAGATTCCAAAGAGCACAAGAAAAGACTTGAATTGATGACCAAAAAGGCTCAAAAATAGTTCCCCTAACTTTAAACCAGAGATAAGCACAAGCAGAACAACAAAATCAAAAGACAATAACAAGAGAAGCTTCTTATGCCCTAAACAGTTTGAAAAGTTCAGGAAAGAAGGATGTAAATCAAGGTATGGAATGGCAAAGCCCTTTCACAAACATACCAATATACGAAATAAAAGGTCTCCTTCAGGATCAAACTCACGATCAATCAGTAAAACTATTAATGATTTGTTTATCAAAGATTCTCGTGTAAACACTAGCAGAATCATTAATGGAGAGTGTAAAAGAATCTATCAAGACAGTAAAATTAAATTCACAAAATATCTTAACAGGAAAAGAACTGCCCACCCAACTACTCATCAGAGGTCTAAATCAAGCAAAATCATGCAGAAAATAAGAGCTAAACGATGCAAAGAGCTGTTTGACAAGCTTGACAGTGATAAAGATGGGCTAATTTCCTCTGAAAAGATTGATATCCTCCAAGTCAGCAATGAAATAATTGATATAATCACACCATTCCTACTAGAGATAGAAGATAAACAACTAGAGCTAGACTATTCACAGTTCTATACAATGATCATTCAGTTCGGAAAATCATTGAACATAGATGAGAAGAATGCTCTTTTTGGAAGAGCAAGAGCAGTAAATAGGAATACCGATGCTACTAGTACCTTTTTGTATCCCTCTGAGAGCCATACTTTGGATAGTCATAAAGGGCTTAGTAATACATCCCACAAGAACATTACAGCTGAAAAACCAAAGGAAAAAGAGTCGTACAAAAGACCTCTAAATATGGAGAAAGTAGCAAGGGAACTCAAAAAATGATCTTCAAAACCTTCTATTTTGGAATACAGCTCGAGAAATAGAAAGATTAACAAATTCTTCACTGGCGCCAGAAAGAAATTTAAGATGTAAAAGATGCCAAATTACTGAATTTATTCTTAAAGCCTTTTCCAAAGTGCAGCTGGTATTTGAATACAATTAATTTTCAGCATTGCCTCCTAATAAAGGGGTTTTGGGGTTTTGGGGTTTTGGGGTTTTGGGGTTTTGGGG